CGCCCGGTGGGCCGGGGGCGGGGGGGCCACCAGTTTTTTGTAGCCTCTCGGCTTCAGCCAGCCCCAGCTCTGGGTAGCTGTTGATAGCCATGGAGCCCTGGTTGCTCCCAGCAGGGCTTGCAGTGTCCCAGCTGCCTGCTGGGAGCAGCCCAGGCTCCTGGCCGGCAGCAGCTACATAGAGCTGGGGCCAACTGCAGCCGGAAGGCTGCAAACAGCTGCTGCCTCCCCGGCCCCAATGCGTGCCGAGGAAAATGGCCTCACGTGCCATGCTCAGCACGTGTGCCGGGGGGTTGCTGACCCCTGATGTAACCTGTCTTGTAGCAATAAAAGTGAGTTAAATCACTGTAACTTTAACCCTGAAAAAAATGCTTGCATTGCTGTAGGAGCAGGCACATTGGAACAGCTCATACCTCTGTCATTCAATACTGATATAACTTATGTCTGTCAGAGAAAGGGGCAGTTTTCATACACCCTCTTTCCCAAATGTAATCCAAAATCAAATTTTTGTCCAGCCCAACAAAGGCACAGACTTCCTCCTGCAATACTGTGGCGACTGCCTCAGAACTATGGCCTTTAATCCCTGCACTCTGTGGGTGCATCTACACTAGACATTTACTGCGGAGTTGACTAATTAGCTCAGCAGTAAATATCTTAGTGTCTAAATGAGCACTTCCATTAGGGCACAGGAAACAAATAAACTCCACAGCAGTATTTGTAAATACAAGCCCTACCCTCCTGCAGAGTTTTTTACTCTGCAGCAGCACAAGTAAAGACCCTGACCACATGGCTGAGGCATGAAGGTGCTTCAGTGTGGGGGCTGTCTGCCGGCTAGCCCTATGCTGAAGCACCCTTGTGCTTTAGCCAGCTGCTCTGCAGCACATGGAGACTGGTCAGAGCAGCCCCAGGCTGGCAGGCTGACCCCCCGCCCCGGGCCTCCTGCCAGTGAGGACTGCTCTGACCTGGCTCAATGTGCTGTGGGTCAAGTGTACACATAAACCGTGCACTCAGGAGCTTCCTGGAAGCAATAAGCTATGGAGTTTATTGCTGCACATTAACGGCATGTGTAGACATACCCTCTGTAATCCTTTCTAACTTCTGATGACTGCGAAGCTTAAGCTGAGCTGGGCCTACTCACAAAAGTTAAAATATAAAATATTGATGACATCTGCATAGGGCAAGAGGATGCAAGTTTCTGGCTGGATCTTTTGAAAAGAAATAATGAGGCATCACTTCCAGCTTATTTTACCTATGCTGATTTTAAGCAGGCTTCTTTGTCTGGTATGTGACTGTGTGAAATGTCTATTCTTGACTAATTATTATAGTAAATATTTCTTTGCAATTAACTCATGTTTGTGTGTAAGAAGAAACATTCTCCATATGGGTTTTGATAGGCGTTTCCTCCTGATTTACTTTTGTTTGCCTCAGTGGTTCCCTTGATCTTTCAAGGATAACTCCTCAAAACCTTTGTGTTTTTCCCAGTTGTTAATCAATTTCTTGATATGTCCCAAATTAGTAGAAACAGAATGTGTGGATACTTTTAGGAGTGTTATGTATAAGTTATTACACCTTTCCAGGGATTGCAGGAGGGAACAGTAGAAGAGTAGGCTGAGCACTGCAATCTGAATACACAAACTTTATCGCTTAACTCCTTGGTCTTTTGAGAACTACACACTATAACCTCCTGTTACCAAGGAATATAATTCAATCAAAATTGGGACTTTCTGATAACCAATAATGAATAGTTTGATTAACAGGATTTTCTTGTTAATTATTGCTTGGGTTTCTCACTTAATTTACACAACTACAAAAAGATGCTGAGCTGAGGGGGATAAAAAAGGAACAAAGTCGCTAACAGGGTGCACTTCAAGAATGAGAAATCATTCTGACAAAAACTGCTACTGCGCCCAGATTATCTTCTGGTTAACAGATCCATGCCTTAAGAAGCTGACAAGACTGAGAACACCTCTTCTCCTGTATTAATGAAATACCACCACTTTTACAGCTAAGTATACTGGACTTTGCTTTAGGGTTATTTAACAGTGAATAGTTGTAGTAAAGAAAGCCTTTCTGTCCTCAAATTCAGTCATTCCTTGAATAAGTTGTCATGTCAATCCTTTATACACCTGAATCCCATTTCATAATTTAACATTTCACACAACTGGCATGAAGTGGACTGATGCAGTTCTCCCAGCACTGAAAACAGTTAGGAACAAAGGATCAAATTGAGTTAAGTGGGGGAGAGGGGTTACAGCTCAGCAGGTGACTTGCTCTAACTGTTCCTCTGCCTATAAGAATGAAAGAGTATCTGGAGCAATGGAGCCTAAATGGTAGAGGGCTAAATTACCTGTTTAGCTTTCATCTGCTGTGGGCTAGAAGCAAAGATTTCTGTGGGTGATTTCTTTCATTGGACCAGCCGCATGGTTGGGGCAGACTTGGGAAGAGTTACTAAACATGAGCTGCTTTGCAGTAATTCCCTGCACCTTGTTCGGACTGAAATGTGATCCTTTGTGGTAGCCAGGCTGAAATGCTAATCCCCTTGGGAATCAGGACTCACAGTAGAGATGATACCTTGTATTAGAACAAGATTTTTGCAAACAAAAATTCTTTAATTAATTTTTTTTGCACAATTCTTGTTGGTCTAATAAAAAGTATCATCTCTACTACGAGTCCTGGTTGCCTCTTCTTCTTGACCAATGCAGCTACAACATTCACCTTCTGAGCAGTGCTGTAATTTAGAGCACTTTTTATAGCAGTATAAAGTTACAGTGCTCTTAAACATGAAAGAAGGGCAAGTTTGGTTGAGATGGGGTCTCTAAGCCTCCTTGCACTTTTCAGGATAGGAGGCAGGGGGTACTCCACAGCCTCCTGGGGCTTCTCCACTGGGCAGAAATTTGACCAGGGTACAGAAGTTATTTAAAGCACTGTAGGTTGCTAAAGTGCTGTAAAATCCAGTGTTTCAAATTTAACACCTCATTTACCAAGGGTTAATTTAAAGTACTGCACCCATTTTAAAGTGCTGTAAACCCATGTGCTTTTGTTAAGTCATGGTGATAAAACACATTAAAGGGTAAAAAAGCAACTTCTGTACACATCCATGTAGCCTTAATGGTAGAGGGCTAAATTACCTCTGTTTAGCTTTTACTTGCTGTAAGTTAGAGGCAAGGATTTCTATGGGCAATTTCTTTAATTGGACCGACTGAATGGATGAGATAGGCTTAGGAAGAGTTAACAAAGATCAGTCCCTGCCCCTTGTTCTGACTGAAATTTGATCCTTTGTGGTAGCCAGGTTGAGATACTAATCCCCTTAGCATACACATCCTCATACCGAACATTCACCTGCATCTCCAGTAAGAGGAAGCAAAAACTACACTCGGGTCTCTCTTTATGCGAGGGTTGCGTTCCAAAAAAGCCTCGCATAAAGCGAATCCATTATTATATGCAATGAATAGGGATACATACCAGCCTGCTTTTTTGCTTCATGGCTGGCTCAGGAGGGGAGTTAGGAGATGCACTAGAAAGTTGGTTAGATGACATTTCACTAAATTCAGTAATAAAAGCAAATAGATGCACCACGACAGGAGTGCAAGTAGCATAGCACTGCACAGAACAATGAATGATGCGAGACTGAGGCAAGTGTGTGATGGCACTGCATACCCACCTCACTCACCCTCCCACAATGCTTAATTTTGCTGGCACAAAGCGAGTTTGTGGTATAAATAAGGTTGTCGCATACAAATTAATTTGCATAAAGAAAGATCCGAGTGTAGATTGAATTATGAGCCCCTAGGCTGGCAGAGACACCGATAGTTTTTATTCCAAGCACAAAGACAAATCTTTTGCCTGGTAACAAGTCACTCTCTTATTTCAGGCTCCCATGCAGTGTCTACTTTTTATGTACATATAAGTACCAAAAAAGGATAAATTCAATACATTCACAGACTTTTAAATAATTACCTTAAAAAGGAGGAAGAGAGAAACTCTTACCTGTCTGATGCTTTGGACCAAGGGAAAACTGCTGTCTAATAGCTGTTTCTTTTTCTTAGTTGCTAGACTCCACCTATAGTTGATGACCAAAAACAGGAGAAATGAAACCATGGAAGTAAAAATACAGTAGGTTTCTTTTCTTGCTTCTGGCTTGCAACCACATTCACCTATTCTTAAAATATAACAAGGGAAAATGAAACTAAAACAAGAGCAGTCTCTAAACTGGAAATCACTGTATTTACTCAAATAAAAAAAGGACCCTAATTATATGACAATGCCCCCCCAATAATTAGATTTTGTATATAGAAAAATTATACATTATAATTTTTTAGGTATAGAATTGAATTATTGGAGGTTTACTTTGAATTTGTCCCCCTCCTACTGCTATAGCAGGGAAAACAAATATAGTGGGTAAGGTAGCCCCTTTGCTCTTTACTTCACCCCAGCTCCCCACTCAACAACTTTCCCATTTCCTTACTGTCAGACCCTACTCGCCCTGAGCATGTAAAAGTGAGGAGCAAATTTGAAAACAATAACCTTGAAATTATACATAGCTGTAGTAATTTGCATATACTACCCATGTTTCAGAGGTGTACTTGGTAGCCATGTTGGTCTGAGACAAAAAGACATACAAAAACTAGAACTCTTGGTTCCAAAATGATACCTTTTATTAGACCAACTGGGAAATGGCAAGAAGGGACTTTGATCCTGAAAGCTTGCAGAAAAGGACAACTTTCTTGCCATTTTCCAGTTGGTCTAATAAAAGGTATCATTTTGGAACCAAGAGTTCTAGTTTTTTGTATGTCTTATATACACTACCCATGCATTTAGTTCATCCAAAATTAATGCATGTTACCTTTTTTTTTTTTTTTTGAAACTCCTGCAAGTTTTAGCACAGGTACTCAATAACACACATTTGTCATCTACTTATATGCTATATAAACTTTTTTTTTTAATTTTGTGCCTTGGGCCAAATCAGTTCTGAATTCTATTGACTCAGCATAGCTTAATCATTTAAGTCTGAGTGGTGCCACCATGGGGAAGTAGCCAACCATAGTGGCACACTGCAGGGGTGGGGGGCAGCAGCTTGGGACTGAGGGGAACCAGCAGGGATGGGGAAGTGGGAGCTGTGTGTTGGGAGTGAGGGGCACCAACAGGAATGGGGGGAGGGGAGGGCTGTAGGTCAGGAGTGAGGGGCACTGGCAGGCAGGGCTAGGGCACTGGGGCAGGATGCCAGCATATCAGGGCTGCTCAGTGCAAAAAAGCTGCAGGGAGGGGGGAAACAGTCACAACTGGACCCACATTTGGGTGAGCAGAGGGGACAGGGAGAGCCCTCTTTTTATTTTCCATGAGAAGAAAACCAAAATCAAACATGAAAATAGGTGGGTATTTAGAATTAATTTTATTATAAATGACTGAGGCAGTGGTAGGCTTCCAAATTGCTTTAAAATTGTAACTATATCAATAAAAAAAACTGTGTTTACCTGATACCTATATATAGTGGCATTTCATTTAATCACAGAAAAACGCAGATTTTGGGGTTTATCAGAAAATTTCAGATTTTGTAACAGAAAAACCAGAATCATTCAGGCCCCAGCTCTGGTGAGAGATGCATGGGCGGAAGCCTGTTGCGCCACCGTGAGCCCAGGGACCCCCAGCCTACCAGAAGGTAAGCAGGGGCCTGTGGTGGGAGGGACGTAGCCCAGCTATGGGGCAGTTGAGTGGAGCCAAGGAGGGTCGTGCCCCCCCTACCCCGGCTCCTACTTGGCCCAGCCCTGCAGGGAGCCACGCGGCCGGAGCCTCACAAACAGGACATGCAAACAGGTGCGCTTCTGGGCCCAGTGCAGTAGTTTAGTGCAGGAGTTTGTGCAGGAAGGTGAAAGGGAGTGCCTGAGGCCCTGCCAGTGAGTCCTAGGGAAGGTAGTCCCATCAGTGGCCGGGCTACCAGTGGCACAATGCGGATGGGCACATGCCGCACCCCTCGGAGCCTGAGGTCTCCACCCAGATGGAGCTCGTGGTTCCAGGCCCCACGCACACGGAGCCTCTGGCTCTCAGCTGCAGGGGCTGCCTGGCACGTTTCCCGGCACATGGGACCGGGAGCATGGCCACCTCCCCTTGAGAGGTTTGCTCCACTTTGGAGTCTCTGGGGCGCCATCTGGGAGACTGTGCGCCATCTGGGATGGCAAGCAGGAGACAGACTCCTACTGCCAGGCCCTTCACCCCCTGGAGGCGGAGGGTAGACCAACCTTGCTTTCCAGGACAAGGGAGGACTCGAGGATCTCCCATACTGTCCAGCCAGGGGGTTGGACCAAGGTGGTCAATGGCCCCAGGGCCCGCTGTGCCAGGGTCCCCTCCCCTCTGGAGCTTTGCAATGGGTACAAACCTCTTGCAGCCCCAGCAGAGCCTGCAGAACTGCCAGCTCCTGCAGGCAGCACAGGCTCACTCACAGCTACCGTCCCTGCTCTCACTAAGGCCACTCGTAGAGTGGTCATTGTGGGAGACACCCTCCTGAGGAGGACCGAGGGCACGATCTGCCGCCCCAAACCCTTAGCCCAGGAGGTCTGCTGCTTCCCGGTAGCCGACAGAATCCCAAAACTCATCCGGCCCACTGACCACTACCCTATGCTCCTTATTCATGTGGGCACGAACGACATAGCTCGGAGCAATCCCAGCCAGGTCATGAGGCGCTACAGGGCTTTGGGAGCGAAGCTTAAGGTGTTGAAGGCACAGGTGGTGTTTTCCTCAATCCTCCCTGTCTCGGGCTATGGGTTGAGGAGGGAGAGGAGGATCAAGGTAGTTAACCAAAGACTGTGCTGCTGGTGTCATCATGAAGGCTTCAGCTTCCACAATCACAGTCTGCTCTTTGGAGAGAGGCAGTGAGCTGCTGGGAAGGGATGGCCTCCACCTCACTGCACTGAGGAGGAGGCTGACCTGCTCCACCGGGCTTTAAACTAAGCACATCGGGGGATAGGGGGTGGGTGGGACTACTGCCACAGCAAGCCCACTGGGCAACTTTTGCAAATCCAGCAGGCTAAGGCACTCAAGGGAACCCACCTCTACCCCAACCCCAGAGCGAGCCATAGGGAAGGCAAGGGCCCCCAGTGGGACACTTATGTGTCTACACCAATGCCAGGAGCTTGGGGAATAAACAGGAGGAACAGGTCCTCCTGCTCAACAAGAATGACTGTGATCTCATAGGGATAACGGAGACCTGGTGGGACTTCGCCTATGACTGGCCCACAAATATAGACGGCTATACCTTGTACAGGAGAGATTGTGTAGATGAAAGGGGTGGGTGTGTAGCTGTCAATGTCAAGGAAAGCTACACATCCCTGCAAGCCAACACTAGCACCCAGGGTGGATGACTGGAGACTGGGTTAAAATGTGTGGTGAACATAGCATAAAAGACACAGTGGTGGGAGTCTACTATAGAACTCCTAGCCAGGATCAAGAGCTCGACCAGGAATTTGCCAGGGAACTGACTGAGGCTGCACGCTCCCAGTGCATGGTTGTCATGGGAGACTTCAACTACTCAGACATCTCATGGGAAGAGCACTCAGCCACATCCAAATGGCCACAAAGCCTCCTCACGTGTGTGGATGAGATCTATCTGACTCAAGAAGTCTATGGGCCAATGAGAGGCGAAGTGCTGCTCGACCTGGTACTGGCAATGGGGGATGACTTAATCAGTGACCTAATGATCAAAGGGAAGCTGGGAGAAAGCGACCATGAGCTGATCCGCTTCACCCTCCGCTGTAAAGCTGGCAAGTCAGTCAGCAACGCAGAAGTCCTCAACTTCAGGAAAGCTGACTTTGACAAGCTAAGGAGGCTTGTTGGTGAGGCCCTAAGGGACCACAGTCTGAAGGGGAGGGGAGTTCAAGATGAATGGTTGTGCCTCAAGGGAGCGATCCTGGAAGCACAAGCAATGTCTATCCCATCTCGGAGGAAAGGCAGCAGAAGGGCACAGCAGCCCCCTTGGCTCTGCAGGGAACTAGTGGACCTTCTGTGTCTAAAAGAAAGACCTATAAAGGATGGAAGACTGGATCCACCTCAAAGGAGGAGTATTCTGCACTGGCCCGAACCTGTAGGGAGTGAACCAGGAAAGCCAAGGCTGTGACTGAACTCCAACTGGCTACAAGTTCTTTTTTTAGATACCAGAGGAAAAGCAAGGGTAACATTGGACCCCTAGTAAACCATACGGGACAGCTGACACCCAAGAAAAAGCCAACTTGCTAAATGGGTATTTTGTGTTGGTTTTTCACCAGCCCCAAGGGATGGGACGGCCAGGGTGAGGGAGAATTGTTACCCTTCATCAATGTAGATGTTTGTTGATGACACCATATTGGGGTGAAGCGTCCACACCCAAGGACAGGGCGGTGATCCAGGCTGAACTTGACAGGCTCAGAAAATATGCGGACGAAAACCTGATGGCTTTCAACACTGAAAAATGCAAGGTACTCCACCTTGGGAAGAAAAACCTGCAGCACGCTCATAGGCTCAGCAGTGCTACGCTTGCTAGCACCATGGCCGAAAGGGACTTGGGGGCCCTAATTGACCACGAGATGAATATAAGCTACCAATGTGAAGTTGCAGCTAGTAAAGCGAGCAAAACTCTGGCTTGCATCCACAGATGCTTCTCTAGCAAACCCCAGGATGCCATCATCTCATTGTACTCGGCCTTGGTGAGGCCGCAGCTGGAGTACTGCATCCAATTCTGGGCTCCACAATTCAAAAAGGATGTGGAGAAGCTTGAGAGAGCCCAGAGGAGAGCCACATGCATGATCAGAGGGCAGGAGAACAAACCTGAGGAAGAGAGGCTGAGAGCCATGGGACTCTTCAGCCTGGAGAAGCACAGGTTCGGGCGGGGGGGATGGACCTTGTAGCTGCCTGTAAGTATATAAGGGGTGTACATCAGGATCTGGGGGAATACCTGTTCACCAGAGCGCCACATGGGATGACAAGGTCAAATGGTCACAAACTTCTCCAAGACCATTTCAGGCTGGACATAAGGAAGAACTTCTTTACTGTCTGAGCCCTGCAAGGCTTGAAACAGACTGCCGCCATAGGTGGTGCAAGCACCTACTCTGGACTCCTTTAAGAGACATTTGGATGTTTATCATATCTTGCTGGGATCCTTTGACCCCAGCTGACTTCCTGCCCCTGGCTGGCTGGACTCGACAATCTTCTGAGGTCCCTTTCCAGCCCTAATGTCTATGAAATCTATGAATTATGAAATCATGGGTCACCAGATTCCTCCAGGAAGTTCTAGTGTGCTTAGGGTACCTGGAGTCCCACTGGCCTGAGGGGCCATTACTTCCAGATGCCTTTGCTGTTGTAGAGTTGACTGCCCCCATCACAGGTTGACAATGCCCAGGGGTGCCCAGCCCACCAGTGGCCCCTTATTTCTAGAAGCTACTGTGAGTTGCAGTTGTCCTGGCCCAAGAACACAATGATAATTAGCAGTTCTATCCACTCCCCAAGTTCTCTGGTTAAGCCATATCCCAAACCATAAAGATATACATAACTAGGGTGACTACATGGGACAATATGAAATCTGGGACACTGCTCCCTTCTATCCCTGCTGTTGCAGGCAGAGGTGGGGGCAGGGTATCACCGGTATTACTATTCAGACAGCCAGGGAGTCAATGGCCCATTAATGACCTGTTGTTCTTTACTTCACAGGTGTTAACAGTCCCCTTTGTAGAAGTCATTCAACTAATCAAGCAAACCTGTTAGGGCAATTCTGCTACCTGTTAGGGCAGCAGTTCCCAAACTCCCACAGGCAGTACCACCAGTTTGAAATGATACGACCTTAAGTACCACAAGCAAATTTTTCAGACACCTAGGTAACAGACTATGCAATAAAACAACATCAAAACAAGTAGTAATCATAAAACACTGTTTTATCAGTTACAGTAGCCATATAAACCAGTTGTACATTGGAAAAGAGGTAGTGCAAACCAGGGGCAGGCAACATTTTTGGGCAGAGTACTGAAAAAAATCCGCAATGTGCATCCACAAGGTGCTGGAGGTGGCCACACCAGAAAAAACAAAACTGGGGCAAAGGGTACATGGCAGGACACACTGCATGTTAATATAATTAACAATCATAAATGTTGTGCTTTTTTTTTTTTTAATAGTAAATACCAGGCTTTCTAAAAGGTCTAAACCTGGGGACAATCAATAAAACTTCATGTACTACCTGTGCTCGTGGGCCTTCTTTTTTGTTAAGCATGTTGTGATGGTGGGGAAGAGAGAGAGAGAGAGAAGAGGGAGCAGAGGAAGAGGTTGAGAGAGAGATAAGGAGAGGAAAGGAAAGAGAAGAGGAAAGGGAGGGAGAGGAGAGAAGGGAGGCAGGCGCGGGAGGCGCCGCGGGCGGGCAGGCAGGCTGGCCGCGCGGGGAGCGGAGCTGTCCCGTTGCTCGGCAGACTCGGGCAGCAGCGGGGTGCTCAGCAGCACAGGAGGTGAAGTGGGGCCGGGCCGGGCCGGGCCGGGCCTCGGCGGTGGGCTGGGGCGCGCACGTGACGTCACCGCAGCTCCGGAAGCAGCGCCTCCCCCCCCGCGATGAGCCGCCCGGGCTGTGACATCCGGGGTGTGCGGTTCCCCCCGCCGTAGTCCCTACAGCAATAACAATCGCGTAAATGGATACAACATCACACGGGCTTTCCAGTGAAGCCCCCGCGTGGTGTCAGTACGAAAGAAGACAACTGCGACGTGCTGCGAGAAGAGAACGCCGCTTGCGACAGTCCGGAAAAGAGAAGAGGACTCTGGGAACTCGGGCATGAGCAAGGCTTTGATTTAGAAAGGCTGTGATGTATTGCAAGACTTTGATTTATAAGTGTTGGTACACTGTAATCTTGGCATGGCGCTGATGCAAGCCCCTGGTCCCCAGCTTGCTAAAACAAATTGGGAATATATCTTCTGATAGTTAGGAGAGAGAATCTGAGAGGATTCCTACCGAAATTTATTAACAAATTATAGGTATTAAAATTTTATTAAGGTACTCCAAGACCAGTTGAATAGTTAACAGATGAGCCCATGCTCAGTTATGTAAACTAAGTCAAAACTAAGCAATTTGTGATTTTAGCGCTATGTCTTTTAAAAGCTAAGGAGTTCAGAAAAGTGACTAAAAGATTTTACAACGCTCTGCTACACATATTGTTGGTAAAAGGACTGCGATTTGAAGAAGTCACCAATGCTATCAGACAGAGACTTTTAGTAGGTAAAGCTGGGCTTTTCTGAGGCGATTAATTTGTTGCGTGAGAAAATTCCTCTCGGCAGCCACGTCTTTGTGCTCCATGAGCAGGCAGTCTAATAGCTGTTTTTCTTGCAAAAGTTGCAGCATTGCATTCTGGAGTTTATCTCCATAGTCCTGAATGGTGAAGGACTGAATGATGAGAGGGATTAGGCTGGACAGGCGATGGCCTGCTCCCTGAAAAGAGATAATTACATAATTTAATTAGTAAAGGGAGGAAAGGACAGCAACTTATATATCCAAAGTTAGTAAGAAATAACAGAAAGCTGCACTCTTCACATTTCATCAAGCGATTTTTAACCTCAGGAATTAGACTGGAAATGACAAAATCCAAGAGCTATGTTTTCATTTTTAATCTTTTTTTAAAGACAGAATGAGACTTGCTCTAAATTTCAACCACAGGTTTCCTCAGGAATATAAACATCAATTATACTAGTTACTGCTATGTCCTTTGTACAATTAAATTAATTTTGTAGTAGAGGGCCATCTAATAAATAACATTTTATAAATAATTTTACTGTTAATGGAATCCAATTTGGAAGCCTATCCATCAAACAGAATATGTTCAAAAGTGTCTGATCTAGAAGATAGTCTGGCACTTTAGTCCTTTCAGTTGCAAGTCGAACGAGCTTTAGTAAAAGCGCCCCTGCTGTCATTTTGAAGCGCAGGATGCTGAATACACTTTAATTAGAGGTGCTCTTGAGAACCACTCTAGTTAAAGTGCCCTCCCCACCCCATAGCATGTGTAAAGATGCCCAAAAATATTTAGTTGAAGGTTGGAAATTCTATTTCATTGCTGTTTTTGAGCTTTCACTTTGAATGCCACTTGCAGATTGAGAGCAATGATTCTTCCACTCCATTCAGCACTGGTGATGCTTTACCTGGAGTACTATGACCAATTTTGGGCCCCACTTTATGAAAGATGTGGACAGATTGGAAAGAGTCTAGCAGAGAGTGGCAACAATATTAGAGGCCTGGAAAGCATGATTTATGAGAAAGGACTGGACAGGAAGAGATTTGATAACAGTCTCCAAATACTTGAAAGGTGATTATAGAGAGACTTTCCCCTTTGGCTATAAGGGACAGTACTAGGAGGAATGGCTTCAAGCAGCAGCAGAGGAAATTTAGGGTGGAGATCAGGATGAACTTTCTGACTATGAGAATGCTCAAACATTGGAACAGGCTGTGGCAGAAGGAACTCTGCTCTGTGACAGTTTGGTTAGGGTGGGCCCAGCAGAGGGTACACACCTTACCCTATCTCTTTCGGTGACCTAAGCTGGATACATTCCTGAGGGAGGGGGGAAACCTGCTCCCTCTGCCTATGTGACTGATATCACATACCTGGGTGAGGGGCTTGCTCCCTGGGGAGCTAGGAACTGCCAGTCTGTCCAGCAACTAGTGATACATTTCAAATTGGTTGGCTGACAGCCAACAGGTGCTGGCCTCCATTGGACCAGGTAAATGAGGTCACAAGGGCTATATAAGTTAAGGACTGCCCAGGAGGAGGGGGCAGCAGCCATGAGGAAGACTCAGAGAGGAAGAAGAGCTGTACCATCTGAAACTTTCTCTCTCTCAAAACTCATGATCAAGGAACTGCCTGCCTCCAGAGGGAACCTCTACCTGCCTCTGGATGATGCTTGTGTAAGCTACCTGAGATCTAATTGTCATGACCCAGTGATTTTGGTGCCTCGGCACGATGGAATTTCCTGGCCACATGAGAGCTCCTTTGCACGGCAGAGTGTTCTGCTGCAATTGAGAACTCGCATTCAGGAGAGAGTTCCCGCCAATTTGCAGTTTCCTTTGCAGGATGCATTTCTTCTTTGCAGCACGGAAATGCACGGTGCAAAGAGTTCCCGCCATTCGAATGTAAATTTGTGCCCCGCTATTGGCCAGTGCTAAATTATTCACATGTGGTGGCTAGTAATTGGCTTGTTAGCCGTTTAAAACTCTGCACGACTTCCGCCCAAGTTGAAGAGCTTTGAGCATGCTGCAGAGTGCCTCTGAAGTTATCTGACTTGCGGCTGCCGATCGATAGGCTGATCACCTATCGATCTTTCTTCCCGTCGCCGAGTGCAATCCCAGACGTACCCTTTTCCTGCCGGCTTGAATTACGGACGGATTAACTGGCTTGGGCCCCGCCAGCTGGAACAACTCATGTGGTTGTTCAGACGACCGGACCACCTG